AGGGTTGACATGTTGTGAGGTTGTTAACCAATGTCATAAAACAATATGTGTACTACTGTTTCATGAGAAACCATTTGTTCTGTAAGTCTTCACCTGAAGTAAAAAAAAAAAAAAAAAAAAAACAAAGCCTTTTCTGTGTCTATTGATATGACTGTGTAGCTTTTCTTCTTTAGTCACCCCAAATTACAAGTGGGGGAACTTGAGGTTCCCAGATGGTAACCAATCTGTGTGAGTGTCCAGGGCCAGGGATGGGCTGAGCCAGAATCCAAACCCAGCTCTGTCTGACTTTGGCAATCCCATGCCATATCTGCTCCCAAAGGCATCCCAGCCAGACATTTCATAGTCAGCTCCAGAATCTCAATCCGCAGGGTGTGTCTGTCCCCAAGCCTGGGGTCCTCTGAGATCCTTCCCACAGAGAAGCCAGCACCTCCAGTCCCTGCTGGACATGGGACTCTGTCCAGCCAAGGGGCTGGGCCCTGACTAGTGCGACCAGCAGATCTGAGGCCGCTGAGATGACACTCCTCTGCTCTACCATCCCCGCTGCCGGCAGAGGCCGATGCTGGCTCTGCTAACCCGAGGCCAGGTCTCCTGAGCCCTGGACAGCAGGGGCCCCTCTTCGCTATTGGGCCTCTTCCGGACTCACCGGGCTGTTCTCCTCCACACTTCTTCTTTCCTGGGGTCACTCCCTCCTGCCTCCTCAGTCTTTCCTTCCTCCCTTTCCCAGTTCCTCATGGTTCCTGGGTGTCCCCTGGACCTTCACTTCATTCTCTGCCCCTTCCCCACTCTCCCTTTCAGGGGCTCTGTCTCCTTGTGCCTCTCCCCTGGTCACTCCATCATTCCACCAGCACTGACACACGCTCGGCCCTGAGGGTCCACCATGGAATCTTCCAGCATGGACTTGGATGTGCCCACAGGCTGGTGGGAGAGAGGGTCCAGCTTGGGGACCATCTCCCTCTCTAAGTCTACCTCACTCCTTACTGCACCCCTCCACGTCTGTCGGTCGACTTCCTTTTTCGTCTGTCTCCCTATCTCTCCGCCTCTTTGCCTAGGTTTTTCCGATCTGTCAGTCCGTTATCGGACTCTCATTATCATAGTAACGCCAGAAGGTGGGTTCTATTACCACCCTTAGCTTAGAGACAAGAACACAGAAGCTCAGAAAGGTGAGGTGGGAGACCTGCCACACAGGCGCAGCTGATAACCGGAGGCGCCCGGCAAGACGCGCGCTGGATAAAGAGGCGGAGGGTTGGTCTCAGCGCCGGGGGCCGCCCACCGGCGCCGCCCCTCGCCCAGGCCCCAGGCTCATCGGCCCCGCCCCCGGCCCCTTCTCCCCGCCCCGTCCCAGCCCTTGCCCCGCCCCGCCCCGGCTCGGGCGGCCGGAGGACCCGGAGCCGAGGCGCCCGAGCCCGCGGTGGCGGCGGGGAGGATGTGGTTCTTCGCCCGGGACCCTGTCCGGGACTTCCCGTTCGAGCTCATCCCGGAGCCCGCCGAGGGCAGCCCGCCCGGGCTATGGGCCCTGCATCGCGGCCGCAAGAAGGTGAGCGCGTCTGCAGGCCGCGGCCCAACCCCGGTCTCGCCTAGTCCGCGCCGCCGGCCCCGCTGCGTCGCGCCGGGCTTGACGTGGCTGCCGAGCCTCC